AAGACGCCGAAGCCGCGGTGTCGCGAGGTGCCGTGAACGCCGCGAGCGCGAACTCGAAGACGGCGGCGGCGGAAAAGGCCAAGGTGAAGGCGGAGGCGGAGCTCGCCGAACTTCGTAAACAGTTGGAGCTCATGGACGCCACCGGACGCGAGGCGGCGAGCTCGATCGCCGCGCGCGAACGAGCGGAACTCGCGCAACAGCGCGCCGAGTCGAAGCTCGCGTTGGCAGAGAAAGAAGCCGAGGAGGCGCGGGCACAGAGCGAAAAGGCGCTTCGCGAGGGCGAGGAGCGTAAGCGACGTTTCGCGCACGTACAATCACAATTCCAAGTCACGGAGAAGGAACTCAAGGAAAAGTTGGAAAAGTTTGAGTCCGAGTTGAACACGCTCCGCGCAAACGCAGACGAGGCGGAGAAGATGAAAGCGGAAGCGATTTCTATCGTCGAGGAGGCGCACGCGGAGTCGGTCGAGGTCAAGAAGGCGTTGGCGTCGATGACATCCAAGGCGGACGAGCTCGAGCGCGCGTTGAGGTCCGTCGAGGCGGAGGCATCCGAATCTCGAACACAAATCGGCGTGTTGGAGGAGACGTTAGCATTACGCTCGGCGCCCCCGGTGTCGGAGCCGCATCCCGAAGTACCGAAGCGATCGGCTTCGACGCAGACGGATCGCGAGGTGGAACGCGAGACGCCGCCTTTGGTCGCTCGCGACGACTCGCTTGTGCGTGACCGCTTGCTCGCCATCATGGCTACGTTAAACATTCCGACACAAAATGCGAACGCGCAGCGCCCCGAGCGTGGGGCGTTCGGCATGAGTTTAATTACCGGTTTATTCGCCGGATCGGACGACGACGAGGGCAAGGCGAGCGTCGATTCGGCGGCAACGGACGAGACGGATTTGGACGCGCTCCTCCATCGCGTGGAGACATGGGCGCGCGAACGACGCGGCGAAACGCCGACCACGTCCTCTCCGCGCGACGCGCCGAGCGTCGACCCGGTAGCCATGGAGAAAGAGATCCAAACTCTCAAGGATGAGTTGGCGGCGCTCAAGGCGGACGAAGGCGAGCGCTCCACCGCGTCTTTGGCCGCCGTCAACCGTCGCGCGCAGGAAGCCGAGCGCGCCGCCGCGGAGGCCAAGGAGAAGCTCGCCCCACTCGAGCGCGAGAACCGCGAGCTCGCGTGGCAAATAGCCATGCTCTCCGAGCAGGACGAATCGAAAACGCGACCCGCGCTCGCGCAATCCGGATGGTTGACGCAAGCAATCAAGGGGTGCACCGCGCCCAGACGTCCGCGTTCGGTGCTCCTGTGACGCGTGTAACGACAATCACGTCTCATCATTCACTGCATTCTCTCGACGTCGAGCGACGCCTTTGGAGGCGCCGATGAAAAGTCTCGCGTCGCGCCGCCGTCTTCGGCGACGCGTTCGTTCCGCGTCCCACTCGTCGACGCATGTTATCGACGACGAGGCCCACCTCGAGCGCGCGCCCGTCGACATACGCGACGAGACGCGCGCGCGCGACGTCCCGACGCGTCGAGCGCGCGCGGACGACGTCGTCGTGCCGAACGACCGTGCATCGAACGCCCGTCGAGCGCGCACACGTCGCGACGCGAGCGAGCGCGCGGACGACGGACCCCGCCGCGCCCGCGCTCGATCGAGCGTACGCGTGGGACGGCGTCGATGTGTTCCTGAGCTACGGCGCGCTCGCGTGCACGCTGGCGTTCGGGCCGAGCGCGCTGGAGAGTCAAAGGTTGGGATACGCGCCGTATTTCTGCGCGTTGGCGACGCTGTCGATCTACATCGGATCGCATCGAGCGCTGACGAGAGATTTTAGGGAGACGATTAGTTTTGAAAGCTCGCTCGCGGCACCTGTCGCGCTGTCGTGCTCTTTGTTCGCGGTGTACTTTGCGTTGGAGGTTTTACACTTGGATTTGGGCGCCGTCGTCGGGACGTACTTCTTCGTCCTGGGGGCGATCTCGGTGGGTGGGAACAGTGCCGAGGTTTTCGGTGCGTGCGGGGGATGGTGGAAACAAGGGTTCGTTCGCGTTCCCGTTCCGGATGGGTTCGCCATGGATAAGGAAACCGGCGAAGCGGTGCGAGAGTTTGACGCGACGCCGGCGCAGGTCTTGGGTGCGGTTATAGGTTTTGCGCTCGCCTTGGCGGACGTCCGAGCTGGGCACCAAGATTTTACGCTGAATAATCTCATCGCAGTGTGCATCGTGAGCGATTTTCTTAGCGTCATTGGCTTCGGAAGCTTCAAGGCGTGCGCCACCGCGTTGGCGGGCTTGCTCTGCTACGACGCTTTTTGGGTCTTCAAGAGCGAGGACGTCATCGGAAAGAACGTGATGATGACCGTGGCGACGAATCAATCGTTCAACGGTCCTTTCAAGCTGTTGTTCCCACGGTTCGAGGACGTTTTGAATCCACTGCCGATCGACGCCTACCCGTTTAGTTTATTGGGACTCGGAGACATCGCGATACCCGGGCTTCTGTGTGCGCTCATGCTGCGATACGACGCCTCGCGCGCGGTGGATTTGCGTGCTCGAGCAAACGCGGCGGCGTCGGCGTTCATGGACATCTTTGAGACGGAAGAGGCTGAGGTGGCGTCGACGCCGAACCGCTTTGACGGCGACAAGGATAGTGAGTTCGAAAGCGATGGCTACCGCTCTGGTATCGGCAAACGCGCCGGTGATGCCGCGTTTTTCGCTTACGACGACGATTTAAAATCGAACGACGACGCATCCATCGCGATTCCGTCGTCGCTGAGCGGACGCGCATTCTTTTCCGCCTCGCTCTCCGCCTACCTCATCGGCTTACTTGTCGCCGTGAGCGCGAACATTCTCACGGGCGAGGGCCAACCGGCGTTAGTTTATCTCGTTCCCATCGTCCTGGGCGTCGTCGCGTACACCGCGAACGCCCGTGGGGAGTCCGAGCGCGTGTTCGAATTCGTGGACGAGCGAAAGGACGTCTTGTAATTTATTTCACCCGTCGAGGACATCGAGTAACGCTCGCCCATCGGTGCGTTTTTTTCTCGAAAACCACGACGAGCCCCGCACTCGCGCGCGCTCGGAAGACGCGCAGCGATGGCGCCCAAGACGAAAAAGTCTGGAAAGAAGAAGTCGGCCAAGTCCGCGAGCGCCGCGTCGGCCGGGAAAGATGTCGTCGTCGCGGAGAAGGAGGACGAAGCGGAGAAGAAGGACATGACGCACGCGTACGCCGAGGACTTGAAGACGGACATTTACACCGACGTGAACGCGAACCCGAAGGCGCTGGTGCACTCGGCGGAGTGGCGAAAAATCATGAATGGTGCGATTCGACTCGATGCGCGTCGACGTGCTCCAAAGGTGGACTGACGGTGACGACGCGCGCGCAGGGGACCCGGTGGAAATCAATCCATCCGTCGGTCACGGGTTGAAGATAATGACCGTCGACGAGTGGATCTCGAGATGGAAGGCGAACGAACGATTTCCCGATTGTCTTTCGTGTGGCTCGACGAACACCAAGGAGCATCACTTCTCCCAGACGTGGTGTCGAGGGAAGAAGAAGTTTGAGTCGGAGACGATTTGTTGCGAGTGTCACATGTGGAACTGGCGCTCGTACGCCGACCCAGATTTCCTCACCCCGGAGGAGTACGATAAACTCAAGTGGGAAAAGATGGTGGCCGAGCACGCGCGACAGTTGGGCGACGCGCGCCTCGAAGACGGCGAAGCTACGTCCGCTCAGCCGCGAGAGGTCGCCGCCGCGTGAGCGCGAGACGCGGCGCCGTCGCTACATCGCATTCATTCCGTTGCAAACGTCTACGCTCTATCGGAAACGCACCCCATCACTTCTTCGCTCGCAGCGCGTTGTTCGTCTTTATTCGATTCACGCGCTCGAGCTTTCGATACCGCTTCGCGTCCTCCTCTGAAAACTCGTTCCGCCAATCCAACCCCTCCGCCTTGAGCGCGGCGATCCGTCGTTCGTACCCTCCCAGGCTCTCCTTCGTCTCCAAAATCGTCCACAACCACGACGGATAGGCATCATCCGGGCCTAACTCGGGATCGGATCCACCCTTCGCGTAGTTCAGTCCCCGCGCGTGCGTCTCGCTCGCCGTCCCCGTCGCCGCGGGCGTCTTCACCCCCCCTTTCCCCCCCTCTGCGCGCGCGACGCGTCGTCACCCGTCAGTCCAACCTCGTTCGACCCCGCCGTCCCCCAAAGCGTCCGCCGCGGTGCGATCGTCGTCCGATGATCGCTCGCGCGCACCCTTTCCCTTGCCCTTCGTCGCTTTCGCCGCCCCCTTCGCCCGCGTCGTCGCGCTCGTCCCGATCGTCCGCCCCTC